TTTAACTCGACTCGAATTTGGCTTGACTCGCAAATCATCGAGTCAAAAAAAACACCAACTCGACTTGATTTGAACTCAACTCGGCTTATCTGACTCGTGAGTTAACTCGACTCGTCCGGAACTCTACCCATGACAACACTGCCTCCACCCTATTATATTAGCTGATATCTGTCATACCCCTAACAATTTTTGTAAAATTAATATATTAGTGTTGGATAATCCTAAATATTCAAAAAAAAAGATTTTAGATTTTTCAATAAATTTATTAATTATTTTAATAATTAATACATTATATTAGAAAGCAAAAATATAACTTTATTACTAATAAATTTATTGGAATTTTTAAGATTGTTTAAATTGCTTAATATTTTTAGTCATTATTAAATAATTTTTTTTAAATAACTTTTCAATAATTTCAATTATTTTTATGTTAAGTAAATAAATATATTATTAATTAATAAGTAAAAAAATAAAATATATTTTGTTATGTAATTTGATTTAGATAAATTTTTAAATACAAATAAAATCTTTTAAATAAAAGTAATAAGAAAAAAAAATAATTTCTGCAAAATTATTGAAAATTAAAATCAATACATTTTTAAAACAAGTATTCAATTTATACAATTTAAATTTTACTTTCTTTTTATAAAAAATCATTTTTAAAAAAACAAGTATTCATTTATTTACTTATTAAATAAGAACCTACAGATCATTTCTAAAAATAGTCAGGAAATCTAGATTATCAGTAAATTTTTTTTGTTTTCAAAATTCGAGTAATCTACCGCATATATAAGAATGCTTACAAGAAGAACTGCTCGTTTATTAACCTTGAAAGCTTCGAATCAAAATACTTTATCGTCATTCTATGCAAGAAGAAATGTTCTGTTGGTCGGTCTTTTACTGTATTTTATAATATTATAAATTTTATTATAACTAATAAAGTTTTTGTTTTTTATTAGTCAACACCTTGTCTTATAGATTTGAACCAAAAAGCATATAATTCATATGGGGCTACTCCCAACGCTGAGGATTTTTCATTATTTGCCTCACCATCTGAGTTTCGCGCTCGTACAAGGCTGCCAAGAAATACGGTACTGCAAATTAAAATGCATTCTTTTTTTTAGTGATTTCATGTTAAATAAAAGTCTTTTAGATTATCAATTTCGTTCCGCAACAAGAAGCATGGATAGTAGAACGGTTTGGAAAGGTAGTAATTTATTATTTTATTTTATTTTATTTTTTAGCAAGTTGATACTTAACTGATCCCGGTTGATTAACTTCCGCGTTATGATAGTTTGATCGACTTTTACAACCTGGCTTATCGATAGTGGTACCTTTTTTGGAACGAATTAAGTATGTTAAAAGCCTCAAAGAAATTTGTTTAAACATTCCAGCGCAAAGTGCAATTACACAAGGTTATTAATTTAAATTCACTGTTATTATAATATATAATTAATTGTATCTTTAACCGGAATATATAATTAACATCTTTTTATAGATAATGTCACACTAGTTTTAGATGGTGTATTATATATTAAAATAGTTGATCCATATAAGGTATTTTATTGGACTTAACATTCACATAATTTTCATCTCAATTGACAACCTTTTATATTACAATAGGCCTCTTATGGCGTTGAAGATGCAGAATATGCTGTTGCTCAATTAGCCCAAACAACTATGCGTGCCGAAATTGGTCAAATGACGTTGGATAGAACTTTAGCAGAACGCGCGCATTTAAACGCAAATATTGTTGACGCGATTAATACTGCTGCTGACGCGTGGGGAATTCGGTGTTTAAGATATGAAATTCGTGAGTAAATAATTTTTTTTTTAAAAAAAAAAATAAAGTAAATAAATATAATGATTATCTTTTACTTTTTTGATAAGGTGACATTCATCCGCCTGCAAAGGTTGTCGAGTCTATGCATCAACAAGTTTCTGCTGAACGATCCAAAAGAGCATCTATTCTCGAGTCAGAAGGTTTGTTATTTCTGCATAATAATTAGTTTGATTATTTGTATTTTGATTTCAAATTTTCTTTCAGGTCAAAGACAAGCTGCTATCAACGTTGCTGAGGGATCTAAGCAATCCGTTATATTAGCATCAGAAGCTGAAAAGGCTGAACGAATTAACAAAGCTTCAGGTAAATAGATATTTATGAAACTTATATAATAAGTCCACTTTTAACAATCAGTGTATTTTTAGGTGAAGCTGAAGCTATTCTCCTTCGCGCAAGGGCAACGGCCGAAGGAATTCGAAATATTGCGTTAGCTATTAAAGAGAATCCTCGTGGTACAGATGCCGTTTCACTTACAGTCGCTGAAAAATATGTGGAAGCATTTGGACAACTCGCCAAACAAGGCAATGCTATAATCGTTCCCGCATCTGCTCACGACGCTGGATCTATGATTGCTCAGGTATTTAGGGGAAAATCTGATTTATATAATATTTGACAATATTATTAATAATTCTAATGCATAATTTATACACACACGTTCAGGCCCTGTCGGTTTACCAAACTGTAATAAAACAACAACAACAATTTTCGCCCGCCTTGATTAGCGAATCCAGTAACAACGATATAAACAACAAGACAGAAAATTCAACAAGCCCTATTGGAATGTTTTCATGAGTGAAGTAAATGTTTGTTGAAAAGTAATATCGAGAAATTTCTTCTATTAATAAATCACGTGTACAGATACGTAAAGTAATTTATGCTGGCATTATTAATAAATGACGTTTTGAAAATACGAACTAGCTTTTTTTTTAAATACATTTTTTCTTTCTAAAAAAATAAAAAGAATCATTTATTAAATAGTATAGACCTTTTTTTTGAAATGATCGAACAATTTTTTAACGTGATAAAAACAAGATTGGTCAGTGTCTTCGTAATACTCAAGTTTTTAATTCACCTAATTTTGTCACGAGTGTAACTATTAAAAATAAATTGAAAACGTTTTGCTGCTGACGAGCAACCACATATTTGTAAGTTCAAAAAACGTGTGACTTCAAAATAAAGAAATTGGTCAGCAATAAAAAACCAACTATGGTAGATATTTGAAATTAATATAAATTCTGTACATCTTTTCTAGAAACTGACAGAATTACGCGTTATTTTAGCAAGCGACTTAAATTCTTAAAAACAGAAACGTGCTTTATTAGTTGGAAGGGAAAGTAAAACACGATGCAAGTCAAGTGTCAAAAAGGCAAATTTATTTGTTTAGGATCCAGATGTGAGAGTGCATATAACAGATGGGACAAATTTTTTGTCAAATTCTAATGAATTAACTCATGACATCTAATTTTCACCGCCAATCACTGTGAACATAAAATTTGGAAATTCTCAAAATAAAAATTTTCAATTTTTCTTTCTTCAGTATTTTTTTTTTTTTTTTTTTTTTTTTTTTTTTTTTTCCTCCGTCTCGAAGAATATATTTTGCCATTGAAGTTCTTCAAGACCATCTTGGTTGTTATTTTCTTTCACCCATATGTGAGCACTGTGCGGCTGTATCAATTTTTCCCTGTCGCATTGGAAGTCAACCTTAATTTCTAAGTCTTGGGAACAAACTGTCCAGAATTTACTCTTGGACATAGAGCAAAAAAGATTTAAAACAAAGGAATAAGGCAAATTTATTACACCTCCTACGATCTAATATACTTCCGAGTGTTCACTATTGGACAGCATATTACGGCTGTGATGCATCAGCATGAATCACACGTCTCCACCCGTGATTGAAGTTTCCGAGTATTTTCACCTGGTTGACATTAATCATTTGTTGCATATGATCGGTAGTTATTGAGAGCTTTGTTTATTGTATGAGGTTTTGTATTTTTAAATTTGTTATAATATCTTGAGATCATAACTTTTTAATCATTTTATTTTATTTTATTCTATTTTACTTTTTTTAAAATAAAAATAATAATAATAATAACAATCATAAAATAACAGCTGATATGTTGGGCCGACTAATCGATCATAATGACCGAATTCCTCTGACGCCCGCTAATTTAACACGATTTCATTCCAGAGCTACACCCACCATAACAGTGTCCGATTATCTTCGTCGGATAGTGAGATATACATCCACTGAGAAAGCTTGTCTCTTAATACTTCTTATATACATAGACAGAGTATGTGATCGTGACAAGAATTTCACAATAACGTCCTTGACTGTACATCGTTTTATTATAGCCGCGGTCACGGTCTCATCGAAAGCATTATGTGATTCCTACTGCACGAATTCACATTATGCAAGGGTGGGTGGAATATCCACACAGGAACTGAACACCTTGGAATTAGAATTTCTATCACTCATCGATTGGCAGTTGATCTGCTCTGGGGAGACATTACAACAATATTATGCGAATTTGGTAAAACAGAATACAAGATATCGGAGAGCTGTTCCTGCTTCAGAATGTGACAACTATGAATCTATGGGTGGTGGTGGTGGTGCTGGTGCTGATGGAACAGTCACTGACAATCATATTAATAACATAACGAATCATGACACATGACATATAGTATGATAAACGCAGTGCCAAAGAAATCGATTAAAAAGAAAAAATCACACAAACGCGCGCTTGTTCACTCGCTTATACGTTTAATTTCTTAGATTTTTATTGGTGCTAAATTTTATATTATATTCAGAAGATATGATGGGTGAAGGTAGTTCGAGATGGATGATATGAATAAATGATTGCTAATCGAAGACAGAGAGTATTATTGACTCAAGATTACGCGCCCAAACAATCAAAAGGAAAGGCAAACCCCTTTAATTAGTGACACATAATTCCTGCAATAATTAAATATTTCCTTCTTTATTTTATTTTATTTTTTTCCTTTTGGTATTTCTCTCTTTTTTTTGAACTATTTTTATTATTTTACGTCGATGATATTTCCTTGGGTTGAGCCTTAGGTTGAGTTCAAATAATTATTTTTTTAATTTTATAATTTGCCGAATTCTTTTTGCTTTTTTTTTTTGCTTGTCATTGAAACCGATCTTGTACATTATAAAATTTGTAATAATCTCATACTTTTTTGTACATTTATAGACAAAGAGAAAAAAATCGCCCAAAGGATTGTCAGAAAACTTGTTGATTGATTAACTTCATATGTATATTTGGAAAAAAAAAAAAAAAAAAAAGAAAAAAAAAAAATTCACGATAAACCATTTAGTAAATATGTAATGCAGCTATATTGTTAATTAGATCGGTTTTCTTTATTTTTTTTAATTTAATTTCTTTTTTTTAAGAAAATAAAAAATAAGAGATCTCTAAACGTGATCTTAATTATTGCGTGATTAAATTTGTTACACCATGTAATATTTTGATTTCATTCTCTCAGCTCTCTCATCCAAGTGAAAAAACACATGTTTTATTTTAGTTCATTGATTCGTTGCTGACGCGTTTTTAAGTAATTTATTATATGATTGATATTACTCCTTATTAAAAGTATGCGTGACACAACATTTTTATAATGACGCAGTTTTTCAAAGGGTAACGATAAAGCTTATCATCATAAGACTTGTAAGATTTTTGCATTCTTTATTCATTTATAGTAAAGTGCATATTTATATTTTTAATTCAATAATAATATTCCTACTTCAGGTAATAAATTTTTAATTCGGTGATCAATTAATAATTTAAAGTGATGAATTAAAAAGAAAAATAAACAAGATCACCAAAAAAAAAAAAAAAAAAAAAATCGTAAGGAAAGCGTATAACTAAATTAAAATAAGTTAGATCAAAAACATCTATATCTATCTATCTAATTTCTCTTTCAATTATTTTCATCATCATCATCACCACCCCTTTCCTTGATAAATAAATACATATCTCTCAATTCACCACTTTTTTCCAAGGCATTTGGTAATAATTTAATCAATTTAAAATCACATTTTTTTAACAAGTTTTGACTCTTCACATTATCGGTAAATACGTACGCAAAAACGTAATCCAATCGTAATTCTTTAAAGGCGATCTCATCACAAACAAATTTCACGGACGAACTAACGATACCCAAGTTTCGATACTTTAAAGAAATGTAATAACCTATCCCATACCCTTCATCAAGTAATGCCTTATCTCGTTCATCCTCAAACAAGTACTTGCCCTTGAATGAATGTAACCCGATACATCCGATGTACTCATCATTTGATGAATTACGAATCGCCCATATATTACATCGTGACGTTGTTCTATATTCCTCGATGCTTTTATTAACGAACCATTTCGCATCCGATAAAGTGTAAGGATTTGGTAATGATATCGTACTCTTGTGAATGTCAATCGAGTTCACATTCGTCGATTCCAGTAACGAAGTGATTTGTGGTATATCTGATGTTTTTAAAGCCGATAAATGAAAACGTTCTGTGGTTTTGGGAAGGATTAACTCGTATGGTCCTATAAACTTGATTTGGTTCATTAGGGAATTCATGACGAGCGAACGAGTGTTTGCAAAGCAAAAAAAAAAAATATTTATAAAACAAAAAAAATTTTTTTATTCAGTCAGAATTTATTTGCTGCGTAAAGTACAAGTTGAGTCATGATTATTCGATGTGACATTTCTTATTAAAGGGTCACATGAATACATTTTCTCGGGTCACATGGTTATAAAATTAACTACGCTTATGACTTTTTTAAAAATTTATTTTCAAACCCACCTCCCCCCAAATACTAAAATATTATGAACCATCAAACATTGATGATACGATCTATAGAAAAAGAAAAAATAAAATAAAAATAAAAATAAATTGTAAAAAGAAAATTTCTATGTACAAGGATGATAGAATGATACCGAATTGTGTATAAGTGTAAGTAATGTATGTAAAAAGTGAATTGGGGTGAAATATATATGTGTATATATATATAATAATATATCAATATGAAAATTGATGATGTTATAAAAATAATTCTATGCCTATGAACAATTGTTACAAATATTAAAAAGAAAAAGAAAAATCCATATGAAATAATATATAAAAACCTGTAAGTATACAAATATTTTAATGCCAGAAATCCTTCTCTCACTTTTAGGGCCCGTATTATATAAAATATATATGAATGTATGTATATTTGGAAAAAAAAAAAAAAGGAACTTGTAATAAGCCAATGTTTTTTAAAATAAGGCTTTCCCTCTTAGTGTAATAATGTTTATTAATTAATCCTCTCGTAACCAAGGATGATTCAAAACATCGTCGATTGTCGGACGCTTTTCTACATCACGATCGAGCATACACTTAATAAGGTCAATCGATCCTTCAGATAATATATATGGGATCCTCAAATCTCTTGCGATTATCTCATCAATGTTGTAGAAAGGATTTTCTCTATAAATAAGGGTGTATAACAAGATCCCTAATGCCCATATATCTTGTGGTGGTCCATCGTATTTTTTACCCGTTAAAACCTGTAAACATTAAAAAATAGTTGTTTACTAATATTCAAAAAAAAAAAAAATCTTAATGTTAAATAACAAACCTCGGGTGCTGCATAGTCGATAGTTCCACAAAAGGTATCGTATTTTGTATTCTCTTTAAGATACGCGCTGGAACCAAAGTCAATTAATTGAACATTACCATTTTCATCGAGTATCACATTCTCATCTTTAATGTCACGATGTACGATCTTATTGTGATGCAAATGTTGAATTGCACGTGAAACCTGACGGAATATCGACTTTACTTCTGCTTCAGGCATGGTATTATTCAACTCAATATAATCAAAAAGATCCATTCCTTCCCCGTGCAATCCCATTTCAATGTAATAATATTCTTCGTCTTCAAAGTAGTCAACTATAATTAAAAATCAATTAATAAGAGTTTAAATCATTTGTTAAATAATTTGCATTATGACCTTCACTTACCCATTTGAACGATATTTGGATGCGGAAGACGTCTTAGAGTATGAAGAATATGAATCTCTAATGGAACAGTGCCGAGTGACTTATCACGAGTCCAACAATCCACCAGTATTTTTGATTTGACAACAAACTTAAGTACAACTCTTTTCTAAAAAGTTCAACAGATATAAAAAAAAAAAAATTATATATATACATATAGATAAGTTAAAATGCAATGAATAAATATTTTCGATACATATGTAATGAAAATGATGGATACCTTTTCGGGGTCCTTTTTGTTATATGCTAAATTTACTTGACCATAAGCTCCTTGACCCAAAGCATCCACAATTACAAAGTCGCTAATAGACTTCGTTAATGTTATTGCCGAATATAACATTGGATCGAAAGCCTCGGGCGCAGGGGATATTGAAGGTGGACTTGTTATTTTTCTGTTATCAGTAGATAAACGCTTCAATGGTGGGGGTTTTCCACCAGCCGCAATGAATTCTGATAGAGGGAATTTTTCTTCTTCCTCATTTTTATCTACTTGTCTAGATGGTTTAGAAACTTCGGGAACATGATTATCGTATTCTTCTTGTTTCTTTGACGTTGGGACTGTTCCATTAACGTCCAATGATTGGTCTTTTACAAAATTTACGTTACGATCATAGGTAATCCATAACACATGCAGTGGTTCATCTGGAGATTCTACAACTCTCATCTGAATATCTACATCAAATCTTGTACCGTCCCGATGTACAGCTATTATACCGGAAGGACCTTGTCCTGAAACGTTAAACTCTCTTCCGGGAGTATACATTTTCGAAATGAATGAAGCAGCTCTACGGAAAGCAAGTTCAGTAATTAAGATACCTTCTACGAGTACTCGCTCCGAAGTCAAATATTCGACAAGTCGAGGGAATTGTGGTAAAAGAGATTCGATATAACGCTTCCCAATTAATTCATGAGCGTCAACACCGAATAGGTATTTAACGAAATCAGAATTGCACGATTGGATGACACCCGTCTTGTGTGCAGTTATAACCCCAGCAATGGTAGGAATTGATATGATCTTTAATCGATAAAGTGTACATGAAGTTTTATCGTCATCTTTTTCTTCTTGAATGGATTGTAATGATATTTTACCAATTATTGGAAAATTGCCACCGTTCTTTGATCGACTTCCGTAGAATTTTGTTTTATTTATTTTTTCAATGTCTAATGTTGATCGGGATGAATTCAATTCACCAGGCTTATCAATGTCCATATCATTGATAGTATTGTCATCGTATGAGGAACCAACGGTCTCAAATGCCGGAATTAATGTGGTAATGCACTTTCCAATAATTTCTTCAGTTGAGTAATCATACAAAGCCTTTACATCTCCCGAAGCTTTCCTTATTATACCCTAAAATTAAAATTTACGTATATATATTATATAAGGCATCCAAGGTATGCTTAATCTCCTCAATTGTGAAAGTTGAATGGCTTACCCTCTCGTCGATTTCTGCGGTCATCATTGTTTCGACGATCTCTTCGAAAATCCAGATAAAAATAGATCCTCCATTTTCATCCTTTTTCACCTTCAACCATAATGAAGCAGCGGATGTTTCTTCATTTTTTCTTTGTATTGGTATCTATTATAGGTAGAAATTTTTTTTTTTAAAAAAAAAAAAATCAAGCAAAAGCTGTCAAGTAAAAATTAATAAAATAAAAATTTATTTTACACACCACTTTTCCGCAAGCCAATACAACTTCACAATTATCGTTATCATTTTGAGGCCTAGAAGCGAGAGATCGTTCCTGTTTTTCCCGAAAGGGACTAGCAATCAAATCCAAAGCTCTAATACTACATAATTCAGTTCTTGAATAACCAAATATCAAGCAAGCAATGTCATTTGCACATAAAATGTTACTAAGGCTATTGGTTGTAATGATAGCCTGACTTTGAGGGGTGAATCTAGTTGGAGAATGTAAAGATGAAGTATTCATAGTATAAAGTGATGGAAGGTCTAGCGTTCCTTTAAATTTACGAGATGGTCCTAATTCATTATTATCGCAAATCAACTCGGACGGAAGAACGATATCAGCTGATTGAAAAGTTGAAACAACTGGCGAGAATAACGCATTTTGTACTGCGGGTAGTCTCCATCCTTTTAGCTTATTCTTCATGAAATCGAAAGACCGTCGAAGAATATTTTCATAGGATGAAGAATCGGTCGCAACAAAACTAAAACTGTGTAACGACTCGGTCGAAAATCGAGCAAGATCTAGGTGTTGAATGACCTTTGAGTTTGCATTCGAGTTTGACATATCATTTGACATTGATCTATCTTCTCGAATTCTACGTAAACCATTGGGTAAAACGTTTGTATCATTGTTGATTAATTCTTGTTCGGTTTCTCTATTTATTCATACATAATATATATATTATGTGTCATGAAATGAAAATTTTTACAAATGATCGATCAGTAATAAAATTCGTAAAATTTATCTCTACCATCACCTAACCAGGCAAGGTACGTATATCAAAAGGTAGATTGACAGAAGCGTCGTGCATAAATAAAGACAAGACGTTATAATAACGTTACTCACTGGAGATATTCGTCGAAATCATTTGTCTCATAATAATGAAGATGTTTTTCGGTTTGATAAGGTGACTCTAATTAGGACATGGGAAGTAATTTAGTTACATAGTTGGGAAGCCAAGGGACGGCAAAAAAATGAACTCAGTTATAAGATGATGGGGGCATAATTACCTGAGACCTGGGTCATTTTCCGAAATTAAAGAAAATATTTTGTTCTCTGACTAGAATCTGGTTTTATAATAAACCAATAAGTTTGACTAGAGTAAAGAAAACACTAGTCGAAGCCTCAATATAGAAATGTTTATAAATAATTTTTTGTTATAAATAATATTATTGATACAATTTTGATGATTTGAGAAGCAACCAAAAAAAAGAAAAAAAATACTTTCTATAGATATTTGTTATATATATATATATAATAAATATGGTATTACTTTGAAATTGTGGTAAACGCGTTATGTATTCCTTATATGGAGTTTCTATTGGCTCTTTAAAAAGTAAGCAGCAAGCAGCTGACCTCTACCTGACCAATATTTATACAATTAATTGGTTTTGAAAAAATACTATTGCAGATGCAGAAACATGTAAAAAATCATCTGGTTTTTTTTTTTTTCTTTTTTCTCCCAAAGATTGACATCATGAGATATCAAATAAATAAAATAAATAAAAAAAAAATGAGATTATATTTCTTTGATATCTCGAAAAAAAAAAAATTATCTTATATCGTTTATGCCGACGGGATCATTAAAATCGATTGTTTCCAGCCAAAACGGCAAGTTTCTAAAAATGAAAAGATTTGATAAGATTTCGTTAGTCTCATTTTCAAATCTTTTTTGAAACGCTTATAAAACTTCGATTAATCATATGACCTTTATTAGACTTTTCATAGAGTTGGTTACATTTCACATGACGTTACAAAAAGGGAAATATCTCAATTATTACAAGAAAATTTACTATAAACAGGAAATGAAACAAAAAGACGCAATAACGTTTGATCGGCAGTGTCAATTGATTATTTTATTGAGATTTGCTTTTTCGTGTATCCCTACTAAAAATAGTTTGGTTTACAAAAAAAAAAAACTTGTTTTTTGAGTAGTTGGTGAACAATACTTGAGAGAATAATATCGTGTGCCTTCGTCTCATGGAACTTTAACAAATATTTGTTTTCCGCAGCAATTCAAGATATCCCCAATATCGGCTAAAAGGTCTCGTCGTGGTTTTTCCGCTTCCGTCCTAATTAAGATCACGGGTTTGGTCGGATTTTCATTTGTATGATGTCAATTTTGCCAAGGGAAATTTATTCTTTGATTCAGGGAATTTTATCTGACCCCGTAAAGAAAAGTAATAAATTCTTTTAATAGTAATATATATTTTGTATATAGTTATTTGGGGAAATTTTTGTTTAACTAAGCCTTCGGAATTCTCATCATAAGATCATAAGAACGTTATCTCATAATTCTGGTCAGAAATTATATGCCACTCCGAATTTTACAAAAAAATTAACGTGACATTATTGGGCGAAATTTTCTTAAAAAAAAAAAAAAAAAAAAAAAAGTATCGTTCAATTGAATTTAAAGAAAATTTGGAGATGGGGCACCATGGTCAGGTCGTCCGCGTTTAACCTATCAGAAAATTTTCCACGTTCAAAGGTAAAAAAGTTTATTGCTGACTGGAAGTAAGAGTTGACGGATGATGTCACCACAAGATGATGATGATGATGATAGAACTATCTAGAAACTTCATTTTTTTGTATTACATATAAATTTTCATTTCGCTTTTTCTCTTACGCTGAGACTTTCTAGATCGACTTTTATTGCACTATGTCGTATTATGAAATTTTAGGCATTGAGGTTGATGCCTCAGAAGACGACATTCGCAAAGCTTACAGAAAGCAGGGTACGCACAGTTTAGGTTTAAAAAATTGGTTTAATACGATTCGATCCTCACCAATTCTTTTTACACAGCCTTATTATGGCACCCTGACAAGAACGTCCAGAGAAAAGAAGAAGCCGAAGCAAAATTTAAAAAGATCGCTGAAGCATATGAGGTGTTGAGTGACGGTATGTATCTTTCCGTTGTAGTAGTGTTCATGATATGTTGCATTAATAACATGGTATTAATCTTAATTTTACCGAAAAGTCGATAAAAGACAAATTTACAATAAATACGGTGAAGAAGGACTTAAAAATGGCGAGCCTAACGAATACGAAAGAAATAATTATACAACCAACGTAGATATGAGAGAATTTTTATTATTCGTGATTTCTGAAACATTAACGCTAACATATTTTCTTATTTTTTTCTTTTTTTCCTTTTTTTTATTCGTTTTTTAAAAGTTTCATTTTCATGATCCTGAAGAAATATTTAGGTCATTCTTTGGTGGATCATTGGCTGAAATATTTGGTATGAATTAACCTTGTTCAGCCTTTTTCTTTTTACGTAAGTTAACGCTCTTGTACCGAAATTTTTTTTTTTTAAAAAAATTATTTAGGCGGTGGTGGGTTAGGAGGAATGCGCGGCTCATTATTCAATCAATCCTCATTCGGCATGTCTCCTTTTGGTATGGGAGGACTTCGCTCAACCGCTTTCGATGATCCTTTTCTTAATCCATTCGGTAACGCATTTGGAAGTTTTGGAAATATTGGACCATCAGCGGCGACATCATCATTTTCGTCATTCTCTTCAAATTCATTTTCCGGAGGAGGTCAAGGTGGATTTGTAAAGCAATCCACAACCACGGAATTCGTTAATGGTGTCAGGAAAACTACCACTAAAACGGAGGATGCACAGGTAAATAAAGTTGTTATCATCATCATTAAATTAATTTTCCTTCAATGAAATAATTAATCGATTTGAATCGTTTAGGGAAATGTTACAGTTGTGACGGAAACTTCTGATGGTCGACGTCAAGTCCTCAATTCACGGCTGAGTGATGCACCGCATAATGTAAGTCACGAAATTCAGGGGATACCCATTCAGAATGAAGGATTATCTCGGCCACGACAAAGTCAATTCCAAGGTCAACAACCACCATTTCAACAGTTTCAGCAATTCCAAAGTCAACAATCATCATTCCATCCATTTCAAGATCAACTATCCCAACATCAACAACAATTCCAGCAATTTCAACAGCAATTTCAATCACAGGATCCTAATTCGATGTATGAGCAACGCTCACGAGGTAAATCGACGAGTTTTTTTTCTTTTTTTAAGAATAAATGTTTTCTTTGATTTATTTTTAAAAATTTCCATTTCATTATTTATAGGCAATAGACATTCATCAAATGGTCATAATAATCATGGGTTCTTTCCTCGAAGGAGATAATTTATTATTCATTCATAAGAAAGCAACAAATACCAAGTCATTCTTTTACCCCCTTTTTTTTTTTAAAAAAAAAAAAAAGATTCATCATATTTTTCAATTCTTTCAATTCTTTTCTGATTTTATGTAATATAAAAATAATTCGTTATGTTACTCTTTTTTTTTTTCTTTTTTTTTCTGATTAAACATTTAGAAACAATACATTAGCTTAACTTATCAACAATATAAATTGCATCCATCTTTTTGGGTTTAATGGCGCAGTACACGATAATCTTTTTTAGCCCACATATAGCGCATTATGCAGAGTAATTAATAGCTTATTTGCCGCAGTCGTTAATTGGGTATGAATTGTTTGTATTCAAACTCATTGGTTAAAAAATTTCAGGCCAGTTGATGGCAGAATCGAGTTACAAATAAACAATTGAATTACAATATCTTGTTCGTCTTATCTCGTTCGTACATGTTTATATTTGATGAAGATTATGGTCGTATAATGAATTGTTTTTGATGCACATTACATTTGAAGGTTACAACCATTTGATTGAATTAAATAAAGTAAAATAAATAATTAAAATCACAATTCAAAATCTTACACATTCAATTTTTTAAACTTTTAAAGGAGGGAAAATCGAGAACGAATAATTGAAAATTTCTTAGACTTTGTTAAGGAAAGGAAAAAAATTTCTTTGTTTGGGACGATGGTCACACCATGACGATACCATCTCTTTTCATTTTCTTATCACCACCAGCCTCATTTTGGACAAGATTTACCGAGAAAAGTAAAATTCAATGTCGGCGAAATCCATTAAATTCTCATGAACGCCACAATATCAATTAGGGAATAAAACGTCAATAATAAATAACGATGATAATAATAATAATAATAATAATAAAAAAAAGATTCCGAGAATTTTCTTTTTTTTTAAGCCGGACTGGAATAAAAATGATTGTGATGTCATGTATATTAAAAATGAAGGGATGTTTCACGTAATCCAATCATCATTCGAAAAATTTTTGGAAAATTTCATATGTTAGTAATTTCGGTAAATGAAATTCCGCATGCTCTGAGATCAAGTGATTGGAGTTAAATTAAAAAAAATTTCATTATATAAATCACAACATGACTTTCCTATTCATAGGTTACTATAGTATACAGACCGTGCGCCTTTAGATATTCTTGGTTTATCCCATTGGATTTGATCGAAGGATCATACATAGGCAAACAAGTGAGGCGAAAATTAATGTTTAAATTAATTTATATTATCCAAATCCGCGTATGGTATTTTCAAATGTATTAAAAAAGAAAAAAAAAAAGGTAATTTAAGAATTATTTATAGGGCAGCAAATTATAAAATAAAAATAAAATAAAAAAAAAAAAAATCATCATATGAAGCACATTGTTAAAATAGTTGAACAAATCAGAATTCCCAAAACAAAATTCTATTTCATTTTGTGTATATCCGAAAAGAATTAAACAGCCTGTAAATCTTATAGAAATTATTTACTTTATTACCAAAATATGAATAACAATAGGTTCATAAGGTAGGGAATAAAAACTATATAAATGACAAAGTTGCCCCAATTTCAAAAAATTTATTCTTTCTTGTCGTTTGAGTGTCAAGGTTTGATCGCGACTAAAAGAATTCAATTACGATATTATTCAAGCTTTTTTTTCGAAACGACGTTCTATATAAAAAAATATACCGAATTTTTTTTCTTTTCATTTCTTCAATAAAATTACGTTAAAAACATAAAAATCCTTCCTCTCTTTTGATGACTATAAGTTTTTTTTAAAAAAAAATTACAATCCTTAAGATATTCATACGTTTGTTTTAAACTTTAAATTTCTAAATACGATAATTTTTTTTTTAAAAAAAAAAAAAAAAATAAATATATATGTATATATATATGTATATGTATATATATATATATATATATTAAATAAAAATAATTAAATATAAAAATAAAAAAAAAAAATACGCTGAAAATATATTTATATATTTATATATATATATAAAAAAAAAAAACTTGTATTCGTTAAAGTTCTTAGTCAACAAAATTCTTGGCTTCTTTAAAGTCTGTAACTATTTCTCAGCACGACTCTTTTCCATCTAAAGGGCGTATCTCATTTGTTTGTACTAACCGGAATATTTAGGTGAGTTTATTATATTTTTATATTTATATATATGATAATGTATCCGAATTCCATTTAGTTATTTTATTACAGGCGCGCGTGCCTGCTATACCGTGCTTGGTTGCACACTATTTTTTTTCCAGAATAACAAAAAATGCACCTGTTTAAAATACTCTTAAAACCCTTAATTGTTTCATATATTACTAAATAGTTATAAAGGGAAAAAAAAAAAAAAAAAAAAAATTGCAGATGAAAATATACTTACTTTTTCTCCTATTTACTCATACACTTATATATATCTCCACCCCCCACTCAATTTAAAATATTTTTTACCCATCAACGAAATGTTTTCAACGATAATTTGTTGTTAAACACAGTAAAACATGAATCGATCAAAATCTTCTATATCAACTGAATATAATAACTTGGGTCTACACTCTGGTGCTGCCGCAGGTAACCTTGGTAAGTTTTCAACCTTTTGTTACATATATTCTAGGGAGTGGGTTAACATTTTGGCATGGCATCAAATTGGTCGTGTTTCGAATTCACAGAGTTTGTAAACTTCACGAAAGGACGAATTCGAGTTTTTGCATTTTTAATGAAATTCAAGTTATGATCATTAATAATTAAGCGCCTTTTTTATTTTTTTTTAATGAACATGTAGGATTGGTAAAATTTGCATTAGATCATGGTCAACCAATCGATTCCGTGTTGAACGGGGTCTTACCAATCCATGTCGCGTGTATAAACGGAAACGTATCTGTAGTACAATACCTCATTGAACGGGGTGCGGACGTGAACGCCCCAAGGTAAGATAGTCCTATTATGCGATTAATCTTTAGCGCATGAAAATCAAATGTCATTATTGAATTCATTTATTTTTTTTTCCTTTCTTGTAGACTCTCACACAAATTTAATGGTACAGAAAAAAATAGGGCAACGGATCAGACAGTAGGAACAACTGGATCAACCGCATTACATTTTGCTGCCGCGAACGGATGTACTCAAACAGTTGAACTATTATTAAAAAAGGGTGCAAGGGTGGACGTTGCCGACAAATACGGTTCAACTCCATTATCGGTAGCAATGGCAAAAAATCATGCTGATGTCATTGAACTCTTGAAAATATATGGTGCGATTCAGGCCGCCGAGAAACAAAAATTTATAGTGATGGACGCTTCTAGCTCTTCAATACACATCCCAACCACAACGAAATCTTCGAAAAGTTCAAAAGACAAATCATCAAAAAGTGCGAAAAAG